ATTAGATCTTGAAATGTTTCATATAATTTAGTAATTGGAATGTTTTTGAATTAAGAAAATTAATTTAATTAACAACCAAGTTATGTCTTATCTGATGATTTAATAAATTTAGAAAAGCCAGAAATAGTATCTATGTATTTATTTAATTACTTTACACCTAATATACAGTATTCCTCTACGCTACATACTATACACTACACTTAGATTCTTGGCGTCACTTGGACTGCGCTGTAGCGACTCTACCTCACACCACGCGAATCACAAGTACACGTCCACTACGTCTTGTTTGTTCTGGGCCAGGAGGGGCTTCTACTTGATCTAGTCCCACACTTACATGCACACACTTCGTCCACAATCCCACGCCACTCTACTCAACTGATCCTCTCTCTCTCTCTCTGTATACTCTACTCTAATTTCTCTGTCCCTATCTGCTCTGCTTATTTTCTCTCTCTCTCTCTCTCTTTTTTTCGTCCTTATCTCTTACTTTCTTTCTTTATGTCTACACTACTCTCGTTCTCTCACACTCTCTCTCTCTCTCTCTTCTATCTATCCTCAAACATGGCAAAACACTCTAATATTAGCGGCATTTCTGAGTAAAATTCTCACGGTCTCTCGAATACCCCGTCTCGTCTACACACACACTACCTTTTTCTGTTTCTAGCTAGCCTCACTTTCTGGTTGAACGTCAGCGAGTCCAACCCAACACGATGGCGTCTGAGGTTCTCGAGTTGGTCGTTTTTTCTATGGTTTCACTCTTTTTCGCTTGCTCTCTTACCCTCTTCTTTTTGTCCTCGCCACTTCCATCGTTTTTCACCTAGAGATCTCGTCGTCCTGTGAGAACATAGCAGCTACTAAACTCGTACACAGACCTGTATCTCAACACTTTATGTACCTTGAAGAAAACTTTCTCTTTTCTATTTGTACCACGCATCCCGAAATAATCCGCGAAAATCACCGAAACTCACTGTTCGAGCTTTGGCATCTAGATTGAGACTAACTCGTGAGCTCTCGCTTTGACCATGGCCATCGTCACTGCTGCTGCTGCGTATCTCCCTTCGTAGTCACTCTCGACATAGCTACTGCTATTCTAGTAGTCGCGTCCGAATTTTCTCACCCTTTCCCGTTGGCACTGTTGTGTCTCTACGGCACAGTTGGTTGTCCGTTGGCATTATCCTCTCCTTCTTTCAGCGTATGTACAGCTCCCGGAAATAAACAAATCCGGAGAAGCTTGAAATTTAGGCTCCTTGTACATGCGTTACGTTAGCGAGAGCATTTTGGACGCGCAGGCCATTTTTACATCATTACAAGCGTTATACATGTTCCGATTTACCTTTAAACTTAATTTACGATTTGTATTGTTATTGTCAATAAAAAAAAATTTGAAACGAGAGCTTGCAGATTTTAAAGTTTTCCGGTTATGCATTCGCTGATTTTATCCTACTACATAGTTGGAATGGAAGTGGAATGAAGTAGCGTAGAAAAGCCGCATATCTGCCAAGTCCTAAGTTCAAGATTGCAATTTCTCAAAGTTTTTTTTTTTTTTACAAACAATTACAAATAATAGAAGATTACAACTGTTAGTATAGTTATAGAATGTAATCCAATGTATTCTATAAATTTTCAAGTTATAATAATTGTAAAAAGGCCTGTTACGGCAAAAAACGTGAATTCTTCGTGTTTTGATTTCCAATAAACCTAGCGCAATTTTTTTGTTAAATTCGTATTTTGTAATTGTTATTTTAAATCCATTTGAAGTATTACAATTTAATCAAAGTTGGCTGATATGTTTGCATTGGTTTAGGTTCAAAAATCATAGAAAAAATAAAATAAAATAAAATAAAATAAAATAAAAGCTATTTCTGACTTGAATATAAAATTTTTTTTTTCTTAATAAAAATAGAGACTGTTTATTATGTTTTATCCAAGCAACACTTCCAAAAATTAATTCAAATTTAAGGTATGAACCCAGCTTAATTTTTGAGTTTGACAATTTATAAAAAAAAAGTAATTGATCTTTTGCATTTGACCATGTTGCTTTTTTAGCACCAAAAGTACCTTAATTTTCTATTGTTTTATTAAAGTTACTTACAACTATTGATGTGAACGGTAGTTAGAAATTAAAGTCACAAAATTTTTTTCTCATCATGGAACTAAAGGTTAGGTCTCATGTTTTCTGGTACCTTCACATAAAATATACGCAACCTAATTTTCCGTTGAATGGTTCGGTTGTATCTTTCTGTCACTGTGATATGCTCGGGAGTATCTGGACTGACTAATTGTAAGTAACCAACCAATTTATTGAGCACTTCAATCGTGCATTCTCCTGTAAGTTCGATACCTTTATCTTTTCTGACAAATTTCTAGCACTTTTCTTGAATTTTTTGAAGTAGAGACCTGTTTCCTGTTGTATATAATTTTGGGAAGCATGTTCTAATTATATATTTCACATCATCCTGAATTTCCTACTTTCAATTTCATGGACGATTAGTTAAATGGGCTAGCAAGTTACTCATTGTTATCTGTCATATTTATGACACCGTTTTGGTGACACGCGTCGTTTTAATTGAATGTAGTACTTATCTTTATTTGACCTTTTTTAACACCTGTGTCACTCATCTCAATTTTAAAACGTCTAAGAAAACTTATGAGAACTATACAATACATTTATATACGCTACACGAGTATGAGTTGTTTTTTAAAATTTTCTGAACTGGTGAATTGTTTAATAGGATTATAACATTGCTGCTAAATATTTTTAGCTAACAGTAAGTAGTATGGAGCTGGAGAGATAGATGATAACACAAAAATTTTTGATTTATACACGAATTTTTTACGTTATTTCTGCTCTTTTTCTCCCTTGTTTTTCAAGGGTACTAACGGTTTTCAGCAGTAAAATGCCGTCATTTTTTCTTCTTCAGTGTTTTAGAGCAAAAGTATGCATTAGAATTTATTTCCAAAATGCTGTTTTGAATTATTTTTTTAAAAGGTGCGTAAAATTTGATTTTTCTATATTATAGAACGGACAACTCCAACGTATTTGTAACACTTTTTTGATTGGTGCAACGTAATCTTGAAATCGAAAAACCGTTATTCTTAATGTTTCTTGATGATTTCTAAATAATTTCTGCATCCAATCAAAAAACTAATAACAATGTTACATTATGCGTAGGAATATACGTTAAAACGATGTATTTTACGGAATAAAAAATACTAAACGACTTTTATGAACAAATTTAAAGTCCATACAACTAGTTAAATATCTGCACTTTATACGTTTATTCTTTTTTTCTTTTTTACGTTAAAATTATTAAAATATTTTAGAAAAATGCATGAGCATGGTTTGAAAGATCATTTTTTATTAAATTATTTTAGAGTGGATCAAAGGTCATTGTGAGCTACAAAAATACATATCAAAACTTTACAACTTGGTTTTGACAGCGTTTTTCGAAAGTTGAGCCATTTTTTTTTTTTAATCGTGTATAACAAAAAAGTAAAACTTTGTTTAAATTTTCCAGGATAATTTTGTGTTGAAGTAACATAACCTAAATTTCGAAAAATTGTTACACTAGTAATCTGCTAGAATGTTCAAAAGCTACATTTTTGAAAGATATTTAAATACTGAGATTTTCTTATAAATAAATTAGACTGAGTACTAAATCTCACAAGTCTGTTGTATGAACACGTTTATGCTTACATTTGATATGGCTGAGGCTTAAAAGATAAATTAATCTTTTGATTAATTTTGAAACTAAAAATTTTATTTTGTAGATTACACTTATGCACCTCTAGCTCGTTTCTTTGTTAACAGGTTTATAGATGCAGTTAGCTTTTGTAAAATAAAATTAGTTGATAGAGAAAAAGTATGACACAATTTATTACACAATTATTTTTAACAAGCAATTTGAACTTAAAAATGTTTTTAAATCATTTGTTTGTATCTGAGAAATTAAAGTCTCTTAATTGAAAAAGTGTGTGTTACTCAAGTTACTGGATATGCTCTTGAAGTATGGTTTTAAGAAGTTTAATATTTTTCAACTACAGACAATTATTTGAGAGCTATATACATGCTCAGCTGTGCATACGAAAGCAAGTGCAACTGCGATACGCTTCTTCACGTGTATAACACACTTGCTGAAGAAGCAAGTTTAATAAATCATTAAAATTCAAAATTATTTTAAGCCACGATTAAAAAAAAGGAATCGAAAGTAAAGGAACACATTGGTTTGTTTTCGATTGATAGTTCAACTCTTCTGGTTGATCGATATCTTTTTTGCTTACTTATACGGTACTATGCCTGTAGCTGAGTTCGTTAGCACGCTACACTAGGGAGAAATGAAACAAATCCATTCCTGTATTTTCGATACTTCTCTTTTTTAATTGATACTTTTGACAAGCGGTAAAACAATAGTACATTACATACGAGTTTGCAAAGGCTTCGATTTACGAACTGAGAGGTTTACGGCACGAGCCGAAGGCGAGGGCCGTAACAAGGTTCGTAAAGAAGCCTTTTCGAACGAGTTTCGTATAATATTTTTCCGCCTGAGAACTCAAAATCAAGCGGCGAAGGTGCTATTTTGAGGTTAGAAGGCGGAAAATTTGTTTTTTTTAGTGCAGTATGTAAAAGCTTATAATTGAATTGTTTTATTTTTTAAATTATTCTATTCCCATTAGACATCCGTATTTTAAAACGTTGCTCTAGAAAAACATTCCTAGTTAATTTTAAAGTTAATATTTCCAAATTATGTACGCATTACTTACCACTTATTGCACTCATACGATTGTGCACTTGATAGAGATTTCTTTATTCCATAAGTTTCCGTAAAACATTAAGTTTTGCCAGCTTAGCAACTAATGCAGAGGCTAAAGCAGTACTGTAGTTTATTGACTAATTCTTTATGCATTTGAGCTTGTACATGTACTTTTGATCATACGAAGTTTATAAAAAAAGAAGCTAATTGTAAGAAATGGCAATGCAGTTTAATTGTTTATTACAAAATCAGTATCACTTCGTAGTTTTTTTTTAATTTATATTAAGAACTATTTGTAAAAAATTTGACATATTTTAATATTTAGTAAGGTCGAGATGGATTCCCTCTCATTAGACCAGGTGGAGGACATCTCATATTAGAAGGACCCATTGGTGGCCCTGGACGAGATATCGGTGACATACCAGGCGGCAGACCTGAAATATTCATTACATATATGGTAGTAAAAAACATTTTTGTAATAATCGTAAAGCAGTTTTCATTATATATTGTAACTAAATGATAGGGCTACTTAGATTATTTATTTTATAATTGTAAAGCGTTTTTAAACAACAAAACACCAACTTATTTTCTCAAAAGTGTATTTATTTGTAAAAATTTATCAAATACACATTATTGGAGGTAACAATTTTTGGTGATATAAGAATGTGGGGGTATGAATATTTAAGAATACAATGTTAAGAAAATAAAGATTCGAGAAATTAATAATTCAGAGAAAAGTTTTTGGAAAATTAATCAACTACGACCCTAAACAACAGCTGTTTTGGAATCTGTTAATGCCTAGAATAATTATCAAGAGTGGATTCGAAATTTTACTTGCTTCACATGTGTTAAAATGGGCAGACTTGCAAAATATTGGTAGGCAAGGTAGAAATTTATGTAGTAATTTGTACACAGTGAAAAACAGATTTAGTTCATTCTTTAGCAGAAAGAACCAGCCATACTAATGTAGTCTCTAAAATGATGAAACTGTCTCCAAAAAAAAAGTAATTTAATTCAGTAAATTGACTTTGTTTGGATTCTATGTTACTTAAAGATAACTTGTAGTAATCATTATTTTTTGATCGTGCAAGTTCCTAAAGTATACAATTTTTTTTTCTTTTTCTAACAAATGGCAAGAGGTGCTAAAAGTTTTTTTTGTAGAACTAAAAAAAAAAAACAATAATAATTAAAAAAAAGAAATTAAAAGTAGGTACCTCCGGGGTAGCCGCATCCCCATCCGTGACTTCCTTGGCCGACTCGGCGCTGCCAAACGCGCTGTCGTCGTCGATGGGGGTAATGGGAGTGTTGGCCGTGGTCTCGCTGCCGCTGTTGATGCTCGTGGCGCGTTTAGGCCGAGGCTGCAGCTCCGAGTCGATGATCCGCCAGTCCCAGTTTCGGGGGTAGCTGGTGCTCGAGACCCTCGGGGCTTCCGGGACCATCACCAAGCTCGTCAAATCCATATCGCCCATACGGCCTTTGTAGTGCGCCGGGATTTTCCCTTTCTATTTATATATATATTTTTTTTTCTTCAAATTTTCCTTTGTTAACTGTATACGATAGTAAAAAAAGTCAGCTCACGTTGTCGGCTTTACCCTCGTCGGCGCGAAAATCGGTCAACAGGTCGTACATGGCCCCACCGTCCCTGGCGACCGCGGCGTAGTGCAACGGAGTTCTGCCCTCGTTGTCGGGNTAACTCTATGATTTTTCAATCCAGATATATTTATAATAAGTTAAATTTGTTTCAGTGTTTTTAAATGATTATTTCTCACATCAAACGAAACTATTTGAATTTTCTTTTTCATAGTCGCAATGGAATAGGTGACCGTTAAAAATAACTATTTTTTCTGTAAGGTACAATTATTTTGATTAACAAGTAAGTGTAGCGACGACCTCAGCACCGACAGGGATCTCCAGTATCGTCTCCTTGCGAAATGGGCTACACTTGTTTATCAATTCATACCTAGAAGATAATTAATGTAGAGATAATAAACAAAGAGAGCAGTCATTATCGACGTAAAAACTATCTGTTCTTTTTATTGCAACTAAAAGAAAAAATAATTTGACAGTCTTTTAATGAGTTTAAACAAGTTTTGTACTTTTTTCAAGGTTATATGGTTTTGTGTGTTTTGAGTTTATGCCAGTATTGAATAGACCATTTATTGTTCAAATAGTTACTAATATAAACACAAAAACGATTCAATTAAAACTACCCCAAAGGAGCTAAAATGCTTCTCAATGGATATGAATTAAGCGCAAATAAATGTTCAGTAGCATGTACGGAAAACATCAAATATTTATGCAGATCTACGTTCGACATTAAGACATTCTTAATCATTTGATGTAAACAAGTGTTTAAATTAATTGTATTTATGAAAAAACTTCATCGAATTGAAACAATTTTTATTCAGGAGTATTCAAAGAATTATTGGATGAGTTCGAATGAATATAAGAAAAAATTTTCATCTAAAACTTTCAAAATATATGATATCATTGTATTAAATATTTAGTTTTAGCAATCAATACTTATTTTTTGATGTTGTAAAATGATTTATTAATCCACGCGTAACACACCAAAAAAAAAGGAACTTCGAAAATGTTCAAAAAGGTACGTATTATAAGAAAGAGCGAAAGTTCATGATTGAAAAAGTAAGAGCTTGAAAATTATAGAGATATTGACACAATAAGTAGAATAAGCTTTATGTACAATGCAATGCCTTTATTGTACAGTAATGGATGCATTGATAAATATTTCAGAAAGTCTATAGTACTTATAATTTGGTCACAAAGGTCCAGTAAGTTAAGAAATGCACAAAAATAATGCTTATTAAGAATCAAGTTTTTATTTAAATAACATACATACACGCACTCTCACATACATACAGCGGACATAAATGAATGTAGACATAGATGCACTTAAAATAAAATTGATAAATAATTTTGTATATACATGTATGTGTATAAATTCTTGCAGTTTAAGTTTATAAATACAAATTTAAGTGTTTATACATTACGTATACAAACGAAAACCCACATACTGCTGTATGCATGTCTACTTGTATTTAAAGTAATTTTACAAGGTCATTACATACATCCTCACTCCAATCACCCCTTCTTAGCCACTGTAAAATAAGGTTTAATTCTCTTATTTTTTTGTTATATTAAATGGATTAAATATTGAATTACCCTCTCCACCCCTTTTGGGCTTCCCTCAACAATCTTAGTCCACCTCTTAACTCCTACTCAGCCACCCTCAATATAAGATAAAATAAGTTCAGTTTGTTCGTAATTTAAGTAGGTTAAATTTTTTAAAAAATCTCACTTAGCCCCCAATCTGCTATTATTTTCATGATACCCCTGGGTTCCCGCATTCTTATAAAACCCTTTAGCCTCACTTCAGTCCCCTTGATTTTTGTAATACCCATTTACCCCCTCAGCCCTTCTCATTTTTACAATATTGCCTTGTTTCCTTTTAGCTCACTTTCATTTTAAATATATCCCTTCACCCCTCTTAGCCTTTCTTAATATCAGTAATGGTAGTTTTCCTACGAGTTTGAAAAGTCTCTGTTTGTGAACCGAGACGTTTGCGGCCCGAGCCGAAGGCGAGGTCCGTAACGAGGTTCGTAAAGGAGACTTTTCGAACGAGTTCCGGAAAACTGCTTTTTCGCCCGAGGAAGTACCAGCCTCCCAAAACCACCCGAGGGCGGAAATAGTAGTTTTCCTACGAGTTTGAAAAGTCTCTGTTTGCGAACCGCGAGGTTTGCGGCCCGAGCCGAAGGCGAGGGACGTAACGAGGTTCGTAAAGGAGACTTTTCGAACGAGTTCCGGAAAACTGCTTTTTCGCCCGAGGAAGTACCAGCCTCCCAAAACCACCCGAGGGCGGAAAAAGTGTATTTAAAGTATATTACATTTTGATCGACATTTTGTATCCCATTAAAAAAAATAAAAACTGTTTGTGAATGTAAAAAACCTTTTCCTAAAATAGACTATTTTTAAAGGCATTTGAATAGGATGTACAAGTTATAAAAATAAACTGTAAATTGTTTAAAAAAATGTTTTTCAAGTACTATGTTTAATTAAATATATGTATACCTATCAACGTTTCACATCATTAGAAGAACTTGAGGTAATTTGAGAAACAACTATATTTATTATAAGTCATGAGTTCAACGCTGTTAGTTTATAAAGAATCTTGATCAAACATTCTTGCGCAAGTATCCTATGTTGTCCAATTTCCTGGATGTTTTCATTTTTTTATCTCCAATGTATAATTACAACTTTAAAAGTTGCTTGTTATTAAAGAAAACATAAACACTCCGTATTCAAATACGATGTAAAAACCAATAGAATGGTGACTTTAAGGTCAATCCAATCATCATGCTCCGATTAATTTTTTTTTTTTTAACGGGGAATATTCGACAAAATGTCGCCCGAAACTATCAGCTTGTTCCAAAAAAAAATTCTTGTATTGCATAGGTCACGTCAAGTCTTATCTTACTTTTTCAAAGGTTTTTTGTAAAATCGTTGAAGCCTTATCCCATATAATTCAATCCACTTTTCTTACTTCTTTTTTTCTAATTTCAATCTTTATGAAACATGTTTCGATTGCTTAAATTTTAAAGTAAATAAAAAGTTTTATGGCTGATCACACTTTTTGACAGTTAAACAGGTGCAATGTCAGTCCAAGCAAGAGATAAATTTTTTTTCTGGAAAAATAAAATAATAAATTTAATTTTTGTACAAAAATGTTTTGTCTGATTACCCAGGACTGTTTATGATTAGTCTTTTATCATTTTAAAACATATTATTTTTTAGTGACTGTTTCAATTAATAATATTATAAAAAATTAATTTCTAAAATGTAATTTTTTAGTGTTTATATGTTACAGCATCTATTTTTGGCAGTGATAAGTAAAATATAAAACAAAATTTATCTTTTAATTTGAAATTTGTTTTATACAAAAAAGTGCACGATTTTGATAATTTATGTTAAATTTTTTCATGTAACAATTTTTATAATTTTTTTTATGGAGCTAAACAATTTCTGCACATTTATCATAATTGTGTCAACATACTATATCTTTTCTTCAAATTTCTCACTTTTATTCCGTTAAGATACATCGACAACAATGAAAATTAAGTGCATAAATATTAACTAATGCTTCTCTTTTAGTAAGCTGCGATTTCTTTCCTTTTCAGAAAACCAATACAAATTTATATTTTTGGTCTATCTTGCTTTCTTTTTACGACATGGAGTACTTCTTCGAGTTTGACTTTTTAGTCAAATCAAAAACTTAATTATTACAAGTGATGCACAACTCCAGAAACTTTGACCTACCAAAAACCTGAGACTGCAGTCTTGAGACTTATTGCTACTGTCGTCATTTCAAAGACTATAGTATCTAAGTAAATTTAAAAACTAAGATTGCACATGATTT